GACTTAAATATTCTTAATCTTCTAGATGATGTATGTTTATATTTTCAGGTAAGGTTGCGCAATGTTTTAAAAAAATGCCGTGGCATGAAGTTTGAGTTTTACATTTATTGGCCTGCTGTAAAGCAGAAATCTGATTACTGTCTGACTGTCTGTAGACCTGCAGTTTCCCCATTATATGATTACACAAGTGCATGTAACTGTGTTGATCGGATTACTGACAAAATCTGATTTTCTGCAGCTACCGGATTATTAAGTGCATGTAAACACACTCAATGAGATATATTCAATGTTTTACTTATTGACCTGCACTAAATCTAATTAAACAGGACTAATTGTTAAGGATGCACGATGATATCGAAATCATACCGGTATTGGCAGATAATTGATTAAAAAATATCAGCATCAAACAGATGTTTACATTTTAAACTTATATTTGATAACAGAATTACAGACATATCTGCTGAGTTTAACATTAGAAAATAATTAAACATAAAATATAACAGTTTGTACTAACATTAATAACATCTGCACAAGCCACATTTTATAAACATTAAGTGTACATTAAAATGTGTTCTCTTTGACCCGGAATGCCCAAATTTTTGCATATGACAGCACATTAATCTGGAAGGGCAGAATGTTTAGGTGATGCTGGGCTAATCTGCTAAAATATTTGCACTGAATTCATTTTACTGCATTTGCAACCCTACAGAAATAACCTCTAATCTAAAGTCATCACATCAAATCAGTTTCTAGCACAGCGCTGGACTCAGTGCTTGAGCACAGCGTAAATACATACATCTGCATTGACTCCATATTCTCAAAACACACAAGACGCAGTGCTCCTGATGCACATCGGTCTCTGTCCATGGTGCTGAAATGAATCTACACGGTGCTGCGCCATCTCACCATGATGAGGTGAGGCAAGCTGACCCAAACTGTTATTTACAGCCCTGTCTGTGACAAATAGTAGCCATGCTACACAGAGACAGCTGAAGACAAGCCAGATTTATTGAACTGCACAGCTTTCACCACAGCCATCTCACATTCCTTCAGTCTTCTCTGATTCTCTACAGACCGACAGCAGACTGTATCTGGCAGTTTCTCCACTCAAAATGTGTTTACAGCTACTTTTAGGGCCGGCTGCCGGGACTTGGATTAAGCTCGGCTTAGAGTAAGTGGCAATAGTGATTCATCTGTTGAAAGCCATACACTCTTAAAAAATAAAGGTTCCTAGGGTTTCTTGAACATGCAGTTCTAGGAAAAAACCTTTAATAGAACCTTGAAATTAAACTGAGGATCTCTGAACTTTAAAGATTCTTCTCACTCACATAGTTTAGTTCTTTAGAGAACAGCCTGTAGTGGTTCTTCTGTGGGAACACTGCAACTTTTTGGGCACCGTTTTGTAAGAGCATAGTCTTTATCTAAAGGGAACAGTTTTCCTCTTAGCCCAAACACAGTTAATCAGCCAAGACATGTCTGATTCCACATTCCACGTACCAAGAGTCAGTTTCTGCTGCAGGGGTCTATGCCGCCAAGGGCCTCCCCACCATCTCCCACTGCCTTTACGACACTGCACCGATTCCCCATGCTGGACCTTGCGGGTGGTGGGCCCACATGGTCCCCCCAACGTTGCCTTTTTCGGGGTGAGCCCGGCCGGGTTACGTGGGCTGCCCGGCCACCAGGCGCTTGCAGAGGAACACTACCCCCAGGCCTGGCTCCAGGAACCCTCTCCCGGGCAGGGTACATGGTTTGTGTTCTTTAGTCATGGAGGATTTTTGGATCGAGTTAGTCTGGGTCTTCACTCCAGACCTGTTCGCCGTGGGAAATCCTACCAGGAGCATATTGCCCCCAATGACTTTGAAGATCCCTAGACCACACAAGCCCTTCCACCATGGCATGGTCCCGATCCAGGAAGGGATGATGTCTGAAGTTTGATTCTTCACTTTTGAACTGGAGCTATGAGACTAATATAATGGAACTGGTCTACCCAAAAAGATTTGGAGTGACACAGACTTCCATTACTAAATCTACTTCCATTACTAATCAAGTGTGTTTGGAGTAAGGAGAACATAATCTAGACTTCCTTTAGATGCAGTCATACAGAGTATTTTTTATGCAAAATGGTGCGTTATTGACAAACTTATCAATTCTGATTTTTTTACAGTGGTGGTGATAGGAACCAGGGGTCAAGATGTCTACCCTGAATATATAGCCATGTTGTTTACAATCCAAAAGGCCCAGAGAAGCTACCTGTGTTCTGAGTTTTTATAAGTAATGTCAAAATGGTGCCAAATTGGGAAAAAATCCATGTTCTCTGGGGACAGTTTGATCAGATCACCCTGCATGCACCTCTCCACCATGACTGTATTCAAAAAATACATTTCAGTCTTACGTAAAACAGGCAACAATCAGCAGGCGGCATATTCATAACCATTTTGTGTAATAACTTTCTGTGACTGAGCTTTTAGAGGCTTCGGACGTCTGGTTCCTATCACCACCACTGTGACCTATTCTAACTCCAAGTTTCTTTTGAACAGCATTTCACATCAAACCACTCGAACGATTCTGTTTACATCTCATTTAAATGTAACATCTATGAACTATCCCTTTAAAAGTTATAGTTGACTTTGCTTAATAATACAAACATATAAAATGCATCCAAACTCCACAATCAGCCTCCACGTTAGGCACAGAATAGCCTGTGACACAAAAATACCATTTTGCAAAGAGATTTATATTCATAAATTAGAACAATAAGAGTTAATGGTACCACTTTAACATAAGACTACCTTTATAAAGGGTTCATGAGTGGTTTAAAATGAGTTAATGGTTATTAATTAGATCATAAAGACCCTAAAATCATTAACAAGCATTTACACCACATAAATAAACAGCCACAGTGACTCGTTGTTTGCCTAATAGTGAACCCTCATCATATTCATATTCATCAAATATAACAGCTCACGTTTGCTCTTTTTATTAATGTGTTATAAGTACTTATTAATGATTTGTAAAGTGTTTATGACCTAGTTCAGTGGTCGGCAACATGTGGCTCTTTTACTGTCCTGTTGTGGCTCCACAGCTGAATTAGATTTGTAGGTAAAAATAAAATAATCCTCCTTTACAGTAAAATATAGCTCTGCTGATCGTTCAACACAGTTTAACAATAAACGGTCTTAAACACTGGAGTTAATGTAGAACTGCTGATTCACCCTTTAACTCTGAAGGTTGGCGTGGAGACTGCTGGTCAGCATAGCAACACAGAGACAAATTGGCTTATTTGCATTTATAATCACTCCAGCTGGTTTCCTGATACGTTTAATCTGCAACGAGAAACTGACAAACACAAAAAACTCACAAAGCTCAAGTCAGTTTCTGGTTTGAATTTTCCCGTTCCACCTTAAATGGTGCCGCAGTTAAATTCTGGAGCCTCAGGCACCATTTAAAGAGAAACTGGGAAAATTCGAACTAGAAGCGACTTCAGCCTCACAAAAATCAAATGTTGAGACATTTTACAAGAAACTGTTCCACATTTGCAGAAAAGTTTCCTGCTGGAGATGCAAGAAAAGCGGCTACAGCTGAGCTAAAGCTTAAAGCAGAGCAAAGCAAGTCTGAGTTTTCATTTATATTTTTTAGCCTATGCTAGTATGTTAACACATACTAGACATATTTACAGCCAAGATGGGAAAGTGAACATAAAATGTGGCTCACAAGGTGGTTTGATTTTTGTTGAAAGGGCAAAATGGATTTGGGTTGCCAACTCCTGAGCTAATAACCACGAACAAACTCATTTTAAACGTTAAAGTATTTAATAAAACCTTTATAAGGTTAGGCTTAGCGTAAAGGGGCACCAAGTTAATTCACAGAAAGCAACAAAACCGCTAAGCACGCTGGGAAGCTTTTTAGGCAAAAGACTCTTCAGTCTGTAGCACTTGCCCAAATGAACTGATCTTAGGTAGATTTACCTCATTAACTCATTAGACAAGAAACAGTGAGCGCTACTAGATTTGTATTAGTCCTTTAAACTAATAAGCGAAATAAGAAGTGCAGCTATTATGTTTTACGGTGCGTAATGCGCCCTGAATCCCAGCCTGCGTTGGCTGCATATGCCTTTACACAAAAGGCACTCTACAGAGGCAGGCAGGGCACATCTGCGACACTGCTGGAACATTGCTGGGCCAGCTTTACTTCGTGGATGAGTCATAGTGCGTGCTGACAGCTCCGTGAGAAAAGGATGCCATCTTTTTTTTTTTCCCCAAGAAAAAGAGACTCGATTGGGTTCCAGCGGTGAGCAACGACTGTTCACCCCAACAAAGTCTCAGCGAGGCCACCAACACAAGTCACTCCACTGACTTCCTCACGTAGTTTACGCAGAGAGATCCTCGGCGTGACTGCAGAGCCAGAACAGAAAGTCTGTGGCCACAGAGATGACTGACCCCAGAGTTGGTGCTGTGGTCGGCGCTATTGAGGAGTGAATGAATCACGATTCTCTCTACCATTGACATCGGAGTGGGTGACTCATGCTGTTATCTGGCATTGTATTGGCCAGCGCAGCTACGTGGGCGCCGAGTGGCTTTTCAGTGACGTCGCCACATATTAGATTAGCAAAAACCATGAACAACATGCGAGAGCAGTTCCAGCTGCAGCAGCAACACTTTAATACACGGTCAAGGGTGGAGGAGAGGAAAGCGCTCAGGGGGGCTGTATGGGGTCGCTTTACGAGAAAAGAAGCATCCAGTACTTTTAAAACAAAGTGAATAAACAGTAAAAACAACAAATCAGAATCCTGATTTATTGCTGCCCCCCTTGGATGAGGATGTAAACATGACAAACCAGAAGAAACGGCTGCCATCCGCTTCAAACCGCAGCGGTAAAACGAAGCTGAAGAATTTTTCCGTTCCACCTTAAACGGTGCAGTAACTGCTGCACCATTTAAGGTGGAACGGCAACAATCCGACCGGACTTAAGCTTCCCAGCAGTAAACATGTGCACTAACGTACCGTATCTCGCGCAGCTGCAGAGCTGACAGCACGCAGTCATCAAAGTGAGGAGCGCGCAGAGCCGCGAGGACTTCATGGTCACTCCGTGCAACAGCGGACGCTTTCCTTACTCTCGCTCTCTCTCTCTCTCCCGCTCACGCCCACATCGCTGAAGCCGCGCGCTGGAGGAGCGCCGGGACGGAGCGCGCGCGGGGAAGAACAGCGGAGGAAACTGGAGGAGGAGGAGGAGGAGGAGAGGAGGGAGCAGAAGGCGGGCGGGAGACCCGCGGTGACGTCACGGCGCTCCGTTCGGACAGAAAACACCGTGTGATGCAGCGGCTCCCGGACCCAGACGCGTAGCCCCAGCCTGCACTGCAGCCTCTGAGCCTCAGCCAACGGACGAGAGAGAGCCGAGCTGAACTGGGTTGAAAACGCAGTCTGTTCAGTGAATTCCCACGGACACACTGCAAAATCTCGTAGAAAGCTTCCCAGAAGAGTGGAAGCTGTTGGGGGAGGCGTGGTGGTGCTGGGTGCTGGAGTTTTTAAACATTGTGTCCACTCACTGTCCACTCCTATCTTGTCAGTCCACCTTGTAGATGTAAAGTCAGAGACGATAGCTCATCTGCTGCTGCACAGTTTGTGTTGGTCATCCTCTAGTCCTTCATCAGTGGTCACAGGACGCTGCCCACAGGACGCTGTTGGCTGGATATTTTTGGTTGGTGGACTATTCTCAGTCCAGCAGTGACACCGAGGTGTTTAAAAACTCCAGCAGCACTGCTGTCTGATCCACTCAGACCAGCGCAACACACACTAACACACCACCGGTGTTACTGCAGTGCCCAAATAGTACCTGCTCTGTGAGGGTCCATGGGGGTCCTGACCACTGAAGAACAGGGTAAAAGGGGGCTAACAAAGTATGCAGAGAAACAGATGGACTACAGTCTGTAACTGTAGAACTACAAAGTGCACCTATATAGTAAGCGGAGCTGATAAAATGGACAATGAGCATAGGAGGTGGTCATAATGTTATGCCTGACCGGTGTATACACATACAGATACATATACATATATTTTCCAAAAAGTTGGGACGGGGGCTTGTTTACCACTGCGTTTTATCACCTCTTCTTTTAACAACACTCTGTAGGCGTTTGGGAACTGAGGAGACCAACTGACATGTTTTCTCATTCTTGTTTGATATAGGATTTCAGCTGCTTATCAGTTCAGGGACTCCTTTGCAGTGTTTTTCATTTTATAATATGTCAAATGTTTTCAGTGATGACAGGTCTGGACTGCAGGCAGGTCAGTTTAGCACCCCGACTCTTAATACAGAGCAATGCTGTTGTAATGCATGCAGAATGTGGTTTGACATTGTCTTGCTGAAATAACCAAGGCCTTACCTGAAAAAGACGTCGTCTGGATGGCAGCATATGTTGCCAAAACATGTATATATATCGTTCAGCATTGATGGTGCCTTCAGAGATGTGCATGTCACCCATGGCATGTGCACTAATGCACCCCTATACCATCATGAATACTGGCTTTAGAACTGTGCACTGATAACAAGCTGAGTGGTCTTTAGCCCAGAGGACCCAGCATCCATGATTTCCAAAAAGAATTTCAGATGTTGATTCGTCAGTCCACAGGACACTTTTCCACTTCCATTTTAAATGAGCTCGGGCCCAGAGAAGGTGGCAGCATTTCAGGTGGTTGACAGGTCTGTAGTACAGGGAGGCCAGTTTAGCACATGGACTCTTTTAATATGGAGCCATGCTGTTGTAACACATGCAGAATGTGGTTTGACATTGTTTTGCTGAAATAATCAAAGCCTTCCCTGAAAAAGACGTTGTCTGGATGGCAGCATATGCTGCTCCAAAACATGTATCTATTATTCAGCAATAATGGTGCATTAAGTCACTGCCACGTGAACTAATGCACCCCCATACTTTCACCGATGCTGGCTTTTGAACTGTGAGCTGATAACAAGCCAGATGGACCCTCTACCCTTTAGCTTGGAGGATGCGGCATCCATGATTTCCACAAAGAATTTAAATTTTTGATTTGTTGGACTACAGGACACTTTCCCACTTTGCCTCAGTCCATCTTAAATAAGCTCGGGCCCAGAGAAGGCGGCGACGTTTCTGGATCCTGTTTATGTATGGTTTCTTCTTTGCATGATAGAGCTTTAACTTGCATTTATGGATGCAGTGACAAACTGTGTTTACAGACAGTGGTTTTCAGAAGCGTTCCTGAACCCAGGTAGTGGTTTCCACTAGAGAACTGTGTCTGTTTTTAATGCAGTGCTGCCTGAAATCCCCATGTTCTTTGATATTTTTTACAGTGAAAGATGTTATTCTGGAATTGTTGCACTTTTTGCCCACGTAGTCCTTCAGTGGTGTAGTATGCATAGTATGGTATTATGCAATTTTAGACGCAGCCCTGTTTATTGCACTAGCTGTGCAGCCCTGGTTTACTGAGAAATCCTATTTTTTTTTAAACACTCCCCTGCACTGCATCGTTTGTTTTGCTCAAACACAGTAAAATACAGAGAAATGCAGTGGCTACAGTTGGAAAATGCTTCCATACTCCAGTGTCGGAGTTCTTCCAATTTCACTGCACTAGACCGATCTCACTCTGAGCACTTGCAGCACTACAGCCATTATTTGTGCATGTCTGCAAGCATGCCTGAAGCTGTAACGTGTCACATTTCTCATTTTTGTGTTTAAGAGGGCACCCACAAGCAGCATGTTTCCACCCTTAGTGCACCCTTTGGCGAGGGCCACAACGATGTGGCCTCCAGAATTCCTTGAGAAACATGCTAGGACCAGTCAGAGTGGAGGGGTATGTTTACAGCTGTCTGACCAACATAAAAAAATATTTAGGTATGAACTAAAATGCATTTGTTTATTGTTACCTTGTCATTGAGCTGCATCATGCTTGACATCCATACTGAGCTACTGTAGTTAAGCAAAATAACATAAAAAAAATATATAATCGATATCATTTCATTTGGTAAAGGACATGTATAGCCTATGCATTGCATGACTGCAACAAATGCACATTTTCAAACCCAGCACAACCAAGGTCTCGTGACCTCTATGTCCATGTTGCTGATGTCAAAGTGCAGATTTTGAGGATGACTGCAAGGCAAAGGATACCTTTTCGAACTGGGCCACTGTTTGTTGATTTCCCTGCTCTAATATACTGATTCAGCCTAATAATTAGCACATAATTGTAGTGCAGGTGAGCCTGCAGGACTGCAATGAACAATTCCCTGAGAGTCCTGGGAAACTACTGTTTCTTCTATTTCATGCCTCGTCACAATTGTTCCAACTCATTGGTAAATTATCAAGCTCTGCATGAGCTGGGTTGGTGCACTGGGGTAGAAGACAATGTAAACAGTGCTGAGCAGTGGGTCCCCAGAACCGGAGTGGAGAACCACTGCTCTAACTATCTAATACAGCACAAAAAGGACTTGGTCATTATTTAATGCTGGATAAACACACAACAGTGCAGTGCAGGTGGACTATCGGACTAAAGCTGGGACATGCAGTTCTGGAGGCCTCTCTGCACTGCAAGTTTGTTTGTTTTCAAACAACATTACACCTGATCAAACTCATTATGGGCTTAATAATTAGCTAAGTATATGACTCAGATGCGCTAGAGAGTGGGAAGACAAGACAGTGCAGTATAGAGCTGGAGAAAATACACTGAGAAAATACACTGGTCTAATTCAGGGGTGCTGAATCCTGGTCCTGGAGATCTACCACCCTGCAGAGAACAGAACCAACATACCTGGCTTTAATATTCCAATGCTTCTAAAAGGCCTTCATTACCTGGATCAAGTGTTTTTGATCGGAGGGGAGCTAAACTCTGCAGAGTGGTACATCTCTATGAACAGGACTGGGCACCCCATGGTCTAATGGAACACAAGAGACTAGAGACATAGATGTAAGTTACATGTTTATTGTGTAGAGTGTAAGGTGCACCTACAAAAGTGTACATCCATTAAACAGTCCCTCTATTCCACAACACTGCTTTGATATCAGTAAAAGCCCAGAAAGGACCCAGATGAGACAGGGAGAAATACTGATTTCCCATACAGGGATAGGCGTCCGGCTACCTGTCCAGCTGTGTTGTTTCATCGTGGCCGCACACTCTAGTCCACGACAAGCATATTCCTCACAGAGGGGAAGAATTCAAAGAAACCCTGTGGATGATCGAAACTTTGAATTAGTTTGCTGTTTACTCTACAGAGTTTACAGAGAAGTAGTTTAACCCCACATTGAACTAAATGGCTTTTTATTTTCCGTCTTGCCCTGTACTGTCTGCAGGCCCACTAAACTAAAACGGATAAGAACAGCTCAACAATTTCTATTGAACGTTAGCGTCATGCAGGACTATTGGAGCTTTAGGCATAAAACTAGAGTACTGTACAAAAGCAGAGACCACCACCCATTTTTTTTTATTTCAAGTAAAAACAATGATTAGGTACAAAATATTTCTTTTTCAGGTGGACTCTCTCATATCTAATCTAATTTGAAATATCTCCTGAAAAATATCTGACATTTATTTAATGACCATGTTGACTGGAAATTAAATAAATGATCAGACTCTCTCCAGGGGGTCCAACAGTCCACCTGCACAGCAGTGGATCAGACTCTCTGACTTGTGCGGTCAAACATTTGTATGATTTCATTAATGTGTATGAGGTAGCACTAGACAACACATTGTCTATACCACTAAACCTACACTCACCAAGCACTTTATTAGGACCACTTCCTTGCTTCTACTCTCACTGTCCATTTTAGTGCTCCTATATGGTAAGTGGGGCTGATTTAATGGATAATGAGTGTAGGTACAAAGAGATGTTCCTAATAAAGCGTCACTGCTGGTATATGTGTATAAAGACATCACAAAACAATACTCAGTATTGATTGTAGCAGTATTAATTGATAACAGTGATTATACCACTCTGGGCCGGTATTCACAATAGAGTCCTGAGTTACAGGCCTGGTCTCAGATCAGATTCCTTTGTATTTATGATGGTGATTGTCATTCAATCTAGTATTAACAGCAACAGCTTCAAGTTTAAATTCCTACTTTGGTGCACTAGGTGGCGGTATGCCTCTTTTACTCGGTAAACAGAGCCGTTCAGGCATTCGCTTAGAACTGCACAGACCAAAAAGAAGTTAGCTAGCTAGTTAGTGCTGATCAGTCCTGAAATTTCGAAGAGTAAAAGTACTGAAAGTTAGGCGCTACAAAATGCACATTATGATTATTGATGACTCTTGATATTGAATTATATACAAAATATATAGGATGATATTTTTGGCCTTGTCACCCAGACATATCCTGAAGTCAGTATTACCTTGAAGAGAGTGGTGGTCTGGAGGACGCCTGATGTGCAGCACATTTCCCTGATGGAGTGCATGGCCAACTGTGGTGCACCGATGTCCAGCACAGGAATTCCCAACCTAGCCGCCAGGATCGGTCCAATGGTTGTTCCACAAGGACTGTCATTCCGAACCATTACATCCTGGAAAACACAGTAATTCACAAAATAGGGTCACTAACGCCTAAGACAGATCATAGGTCAGTCATAAGGGTTAGACATTGATTTGAGATCCCAATTACTGCAGTCCAAAAAAGCTGGCCAGTGATTGATCCATATTCTTTACTTGCGTCAGTGAACCACCTCCCAGTCTCTCAATCTCTGTCTGGAGCACACTTTCATTGAGCATGTGTTGCCAGGAGAACTGTTCATGTGCTCAGGTGGCATTCAGTGAAACCTGCTGGCTCACTCAATTGAATGAGAACAAGTTCATAGTCACACATTAACAACCAACAGAGAGACATTTTCTTTTGAAGACATGTCAAATATCAACCAGTCTGTCAGCTTAATTATTGTAAGTGGGGCCGTAATGGGGCTACATTTCATGTTCAGGGGCCAAATTAATGCCTTCAAATTCAAAGAGCTCCATAATTATCTCTTAAAACACACTTGTTATAAGGTGAACACTTCAATAAGAATCAGTTACACCTTATTCTTATTACATCAGTTATACCTTATTACATATACTATTCTGTGTACTTTACATTATGTTGCAGGCATGGTAAAATATCTAATCATGAGATTATTAATCTTAAAAAACGTTTTGACTTACATATTAAAAACGTATTACATGCCTAAAAACTGCTCAATGTGTTATGGCTGCCAAATGGCCTATATGGTCTCCATTATGTGCATTGTGCTTGGACCCTGATGATTGCCAATTGCAAATTAGTAGAGGGTAACTTAGATGTCACAGCATATATGACACAAAAAATCAACGTTCCACTTTAGTTTCTGAAAAAATAAGGAGGTAGCTGATCATCTTGGTTGCAAACAATCATTTTTATTCATACTAATCTTTCCACACCTACTGTTCAAAAGCTATTAAAGAAATAAATAATATGTGAAAAACTGTTCTCTTCTTAAGTTTCAGCACCCTTGTGCTTCACAAAGGTTTCAGTTATCAGTAGCATCAAGCCACTGGTTTTCAGTAACATTAGCTAAGTTGTTATTCAGCACTAACAGCATCTCTGAAACCTTTCAAATCATCATTTATGTGAATGGCATAATCGTCATTCAGGATGGTGAATTTTGCTGAAAGGTGACAGGTTTGCATGTATATCCGTCAACGGTATGCTTAGTTCAATCAATGAGTGACAGAGGAGGGGAACTCAAGAGGCCCATTAGATCTTTACCAGGGCAAGTGTCCCTATGACCCCACCCCTGGATCCACCCCTGCCAGAGGGAGAATACCCCAGATATACATTTTAGGGCGGTCAACATCCCTGTTGGACTGCATCCAGTACCATCACTATTTCAAGAATATTGCACCCAGAAAGCAGGACAGGATTATAAAACGGATGTTTGTGTGATGCGTATTGTTTATGTGTAGATATGGCCGTGTGGTTAATGAGGCACAGAGAACTTCTGGTTTTATAATAAGCTTATTACATTTAATAGTCTATTCAGGGGATCTTAACTTTATGTAGTGGTTATTTATTTACAGTGATGGTTAAAGCTTTGTAGCAGTAAATTATAGCATTCCTCAATCCGTGTAGATATTCATAATAGATTAACGTTAGCACCTTCTTATACAAACCTGAAGTTAGCTTCTTATTCGCCAGGTTCTTGTTAAGACTTTTTCACCTTAAATGGTGCAGCTTCAGGCATCAGAAAGTAACTGCTGCACCATTTAAGGTAGAACGGGAAAATTCAAACAAGAAGCTGGCGAATTGGAAGCCAACTTTAGCTTCGTCCTTCTGACTGTGTTTTGGGGGAATTATTTTATTTTTATGTGTATTAAGATTAGAAGTGATTCACACACTGATGGACTTGCTAAACTTGATTTTTTTAACGTCAGATGTAGACTGAACACTTTCCTGCTGGTCCGGATGGCTAATTAGCTTGATCAGTTATTAAAGAAATAAAAGCTACCAAGAGCAGTCCATGCAGCCTAGATTAATCTGTGTCTGAGGATTATAACAAAACAAATTTGGTGAAAATCGGTTGAGTAATAAGGAAGTTGTGGCTGATTTAATCCTGAGTGAATCTGTTCACAAGCAGATCTTGACCTCTCCAACATGGCGGACGCGCAGACGCATCGCCTCAGATAGAGAACAACAGACAACGCGGCATCTAGGTATGGATATCTATGGAGAATACAGAGAGACTGAGAGAAATGGTGAGAAACAGAGATGGAAGGACCTGAGTATGAGCAACAACAGAGGAGGAGAAGAACATGAATAAAGAGGCAGAGAGAGATACCTGAAGAGGCACTTCCACCCTCCCTGCAACCTCTCTCAAAATAGAGGCTGTAACTGCAGTGGTGGCATAACGCTGGTTACTGTTAAACTTTATGGCTGGACCCTGGACCAGAACACACAAAGACACACTTAGCCAACAGGCAGGGGATGAAGAACACTGGCATGTGTGTGCATGCTTGTGAGATAATATACATACTAAAAAAGATTTCAATACCTTATGGAAAGCAGGTCTGTGATTCTCCTCATGTTTCTCTCTGTAGGTTGCAATAAACATAATGAAAACACTACAAATCAATACCTTCAGTCAAATGCTGAGTGATAAACCATAGCAAGCAAAGGCTGTAACACAACTAGCACAGCAACAGAAGTCAAAGAACCTTAGTTTCCCCATGTCCCTTCATTAAGTGCTGTGGATGTTTTTATTTATTTTTTTTTGGACAAAAACAAGTATTGAGGTGGATAACGTATTAAAATAGGCCATACAAAAGATGACATCTTGCTTGGCCCGATACAGATGGATCCTGTCCTGACCAGCTTGTTCTGTGATGTCTGATATATTAAGCTGTTACGGCACAGACTGCTGCCGCGTTTCTATAGGCAGGTAACTGAATAGTTTCTATAAAGATGCAGTGGTTGGCACGAGGACTGACTGGTAGTTAGGGTGCACGGCATGGGCCATGTCTGCGCTGATCATGAAGGAGAGGGGCATGGCTTCCTGGAAGGCCGTCAGGTTGTCAGTTGTGGACGCCAGGCGATGCAGAATCAGCTCCGTCAGGTTAGACTGGGCACCCTGAGCGCTCTCGGACCCCACCTAAAACAAAGGGTAAAGTTAAGGCCGTTACACACAAAGCATGATTTATTCATGCAATTCTTTCAGACATCAAGTAATTAATTTGGACTGTGTATAACTGATCTATATCTTGCACAATGATCCAATTTTTCTGAGGGTGGCATTATTTTATATGCTTTCTGTTTGATTTTTGCAAAGGGACATGGACTGAATAACCAATGGTGGTTGTTTCTGGTGTTGACTTGGTGACGACCAAGACGACCAATTAGTTGTGTTGACGCAGCGAGAACCTTTTCATCAATGTCAGAAGGATTGAACTGTTTTCTGCTTCTTCACCAGCTGCGTAGGGGTGCAGAAACCTTTTTGGTCACACAACAACACAGCAACAACACAGCAAAGTCAGAAAAAAAGATTCAGTGTATATAATTTTGATGTGAAAAAAAAATCTGAATATTCTGAATATTTCCAATTTTAGTGTCTTTAGTGTTATTAGCATTGTGTTCAGATGTAGCTAAATGTCTTTTGACTTTATCGTTATATTGGAAGCGATAAAATGAAACAAAAAAAAAAATTAAATTTGCTGCCAGCAACAAAAGAAAAAAAAATATTTTCTTCATTTAATGATGTAATTTCTGAAAAATAAAACAGTAGCACAGTTTCCTTTATCAAAAAAAAATACATATATTTCCATCAACACTCATGTATATTCCAACTTGTGCACCTATGTCCCTTTGTTGATTTTCCAAACAAATGACAAGATACACAGAATTAATGACACTTTTAAAAAAATAAAAAAAACACCTCAGCTAATCACCAAAGTTAGCACATTCTCCAAAGAAGATTGCACACAAATTAAGCAAATACACTTTTGTGATGCCCCACAATAGTGTCAGCTGGCTATAGCTAGGGGGCTTGATTGGACAATGGAACGTTGCACACACCTACACTCTCAGAAATAAAGGTACTAAACGGTCACTGGGAGCAGTGCCCCTCTTGTCACCGGGGTGGTTCCCTCAAGGGTACATCTCAGTACCTTTAGTCAGGGACCATAACTGTACCATAATCCACTGAAATGATATGTTCTAAGCTGTACTGACTCCACACACCCCGTCTCGTCTCCAGGCTTTCACATTTTACTGTTCTGTTTTAAAACATTCGGTTATAAAAAAGGTACAAATACAAACTTTTCACCTGGAAAAACTTATTTAAGGTTCACAGCTGGACCTTAAAACCACTGTTGTACCTTTAAAGTACATTTTCATTGTTTGTACCTTCATGAACAAAAAATATACCTAAACAGTACCTTTATTTCTAACAGTGTAGTATGTTCTCACAAGCCCAGCTGGTATGATGGTAGAATGTTTCAAACGCTTTACGTGGAGAAAGTCTAGAGAAGAAAATTCCAACCACACTGCACTAAGGCTACTGTAAGGCACAGAGGTAGAAACATAAACGCCTGGGGCCGTTTTTCTAACAGTGGTGTCTGTGAGCTTGTGTTCATTAATGGGATTGTGAGCTCAGAAGTGTACAACGACATTTTGGATTGCAAACCTGCAGAAATCTGCGAAGGAGCAGCTTAAACAACTGAAATGGAAGTGAACAATGAACTTAAAACATTAAGTATGGCACAACTGTCCAAATAGGTTTTGTGGCTACTGTTGTAACAGAGTTAGGATTTATGACGTCTACGTCATTCACAATTCAGCCACATTGGAGGGTTTCTGAGCTTAAACTGCACTGCATGTTTAAGGTTTTGCCACAGCATAACCTGTGAGAGCAAGGTCTGCAGTTCCTGTGATGTCCATCTGAGGGTTTATAAATACTTCCTGGATGAGCTGGCGTTGTGCTCTTGGTAGAATTCTGATAGGCCGGCCCGCTTCTGGGAAAATTCACCACTGTTTAGAGATAATGGCTCTCACTGTGGTTTCCTGAAGTCCCAGAGCCTCAGATAATGGCTTTGTAACCCTTTCCTGACTGATACATTCCAGTAACCTTCTTTCTCATCTCTCTTTTAATCGTGGAATAGGGCCCTGCTTGTTGAGACCATTTAGTCTACTTGACATTTCTAGAATGGCTCTTTTTAAGAGATGTCTAGATTCAACAGGGATGGCAATAATCAGGAGTGTGTCTAGTTTAATTCATTACAATTTCCAAGGAAATCTGGTTAATTATTTGACCGAGTAACTAAGGTGGCATTTACTTTTTCCACACAGGGACGGCTGGAGTTGGATAACTTTTTTTCTTCAATAATCGAAATGCTCACTTAGTGTTTAGTCAGGTTGTCTTTATCTTATTTTAAATTTAGTTTGATGATATGAAGAAATAAAAGTGCTACAAATATGCAAAAACAGAAGAAATCAGGAGAGGGCAGGGTTGGGCAGTATCCCCTATTTTAATATCTTCAAACTGCCTCCAAATATTACTAAGGTATAGTGTACTATCAGGGGTCGGGGGTGGGGGTGTTGTGATGTTAAAGCATTCATGACATTTTTTGCTGTCCTGCATTAAAACGATCCGGAGTTTGCTTACATGGTCACCAAATGAAGTGGCCACTAGGTGAACTCTTTCAGTGCACGATATTCAAGACATTATTCAATAAATATAAAACCATCTATCTAACAATTTATAAATGTTAAACAGTGCTGCCAACTAGGAGAGAGGAGCTGTTTACCATTAGCTTACGTAGCAGAATAAGAACTCTGCTCACTACAGAACAAGCTCGATTATAGGTTAACTAAAGCGGCGACAAGTTTAGATGGCACTGATTCAAATCTGAGGAATTAAAGTAAAGCAACTAAAGAAACAGAAGAGTTTTTAAACCTGTTTTATGGTGTTTGGATCTCTAGCTTGGTCAGCTAACTTAATGTTAGCTTAGAAAGCAGGCTACAGACCCAATCAGTAGCACATACCACAGCGTATAGGTTTGATTATGACTAAATGGTGCTCTGCTGAAACAAGTGCAGATGATAAAAACTAATGTTTGAGCCAGCAAAAGTGGGCCTGTAGCATTTTGGCTAAGCTAGCGAGAGTGTGATGGCTAAACATGCCACACTACAGCACAGGCTTAGTTCCAGCTACCTGAAAATAAAAACATGCCCATTTAGAGGATGTTTAGCTTTAGGGTTTTCCTATCAGCGCCACCTTTCGGTCAACTGCCACACCACCAATCAGTGAGCTCCCCTAAAATATAAATGGGTGGAATGTGTTTATTTGGCCGTTCCGAGGTCATAGTTTTAAAATACCATCACAATTTTGAAATACTGCAATATATCTTATTACTGCTATATCACCCAACCTTAGCAGGGGGACACATACTTTTTCACAGCACCGTAAAGACTTGAATCGAGGGGGTTTGATACAGTGAAAAGAAAATTTCTCACCTCCTCGTTGTCGTAGAGAGTAATCATACGGATATTGGGGTCTTTGGCCAGAGAGGCACTTGTGCTGGAGTCTATCAGGGCCTGAAAGTGATTAAAACGCACCATGCAGGAATTAAGCTTTCAGGCAAAGAGCAGCAAATCTTAGAAGAGAGCAGACCCACTTCGAGTGTCCATGTGTATGATATGACTATAGTAATAAATAACATGAAACGTACCGTCAGAGCACAGTAGCAGCTGTGAAGATTGTCCAAACGAGGAGAGAAGATAAACTCTTCATATACACCTCCTAGTGTCTGTAAAGTACAACACAAATATAAAATCACATATATTTAGAGACAATATCACAACCAAAAATGCTCACAGATCCTCAACATGTTTTCAGTATGGGAGTCTGCTGGAGTGATTATGGTGCTGAATATTCCGAGCGCATTACTGGACGCTGGCATGAATCCATTACTCAGATAAATGCAGAGAGACAGCATGAGATAGAGCCCTGCGAATGAACCCTCTTCTGCAGTCTAATTTATTATCCCAAGACAGTACTATCAAACTGACATGAGCTGAGCTGCTGCTGCAGCCTCCAGCAAGACACCAGCAGACTCTAATCTTCTGTGTGAAAAACAACACACTCGGTGACATTCTGAACCCAGAGAGCAGCAGGACTCACCCCAGGCTGTGTGTCCGCCAGACAGAGCTCAAAGTCCAGCAGGGTGTCTGGTTCGACCCCCAGCTCCCCACAGAGCAGCCGGATCAGAGCCGGGTGGTGCTTCTCTGGCTGAGGAACGAAAACAAAGACACACACCAAATTATCTATATGAGACTGCAAATTATTGATATATGACTACAATATGCGTTTTAATATGGCACTGTTAAAATTAATCATTTTAAGCCCATTGTTATTTACATTAGGGATGCAAGTGGAATTTGTGCCACTTTCAGTTTTTGTCTGAAAAAACTGAAAAAAGCTAAATATTTTGGCAGTGGGGGAGGGCTTTATCAATATGTATCAAATAAAAGACAAACAAAATATTTTCTTTATTTTCAGGTATTCTGGCTGTATATTTACATGTAATATGTAAAACTAAACTGCAGAAACAGCAAGTTTTAAATTCATTGTTTTTCGCATGTACATAGAGTATATCCGCCTATTCAGCCTGCAGCAATTTAGCCCCACCCATTCATACAGAAATTATAAGGAGTGTTTCAGCACTGACTGCTTTTTAACCACTCAGAACAGAACTCAATTACATGGATCAGTTTTAGAGGCACAGTTTAAAAAAACAGCCTGTCAAACACCAAAAGATCATATTTTTGGTGCATAAAATCCACACAAACATAAGTGGATCTGGGGTAGGTGTTGAGCAACATTAATTTCCCAAAACAGTGATAAAGTATTATTATTAAAATATCCCAATAAACATTCAGTTTAGAAAAAAAAGCTTATTTTAAGAAAAAAAGGAAACACAACAACAACACTATAGGTGCTGATCACAATTTAAGGCAAAAATAACATGATTGTTTAGCACATTATAAACATAATAGAGACTAACCATCAGTGGCTGGAGGAAAGGCTACGGCAACCGAAAATCTATATCTGTAGCCTTGGAAATCAGTCACTAAGCAACAATTCTAACATGATGGGAGAGTGATTGATCTTCTGATTATATATCTTCAAAAAAATGTGAAAATGTACTTAATTAACCAGCATCTCTGAGTATATATGTGCTGAACTGAACTGATGGAATAGTGTCTTTATCTTATGTAAATAAAACTAATTCAACTCAACAGAAACATCAAATTAACTCACTTAAACCTCATGTTTTAGCAAGTATGGCAAACTGATATTTCTGCGGACAGGAAACAGCGTCTTTTGGCGGCCATCGATACTTAGACCCTGTCTAAGCTGAGTGTAGCTCTTGATATCAGCCATCAGCAGTCTGTTTCTATTGCACATTCAAGTTCACTGTACTTTTAAAAAACAGTTGTGTGAGAAAGATGCAGGTAAGTTGCTATTGTCTTACTGTAGACGCTGCATTACAGGCATCACCAGAGGCAGCAGAGCCCGTTTCTAGTTCCTCCTGAACCGCAGTTGCCAGAAAAGGCACTCTGAAACACATACAAACACGCAGACTTAATAATCGGACTTTACATATCAATCCATAGTATTTCCCACTGATCCACCTCACTGAGGCAATCCCTCCTCCTGTCATTTGAAAGACTCACAAGTGGTTCTCCTTGTTGGGGCCGAAGGAGTCGTTAATGTCTCTCTGCAGGTGAATGGCCAGGTGAGGGATTCTCAGGATGGGCCGCTGGACATGCACGAGACGATGCAGCAGCTTATCTCCACTCTACACGTACACAGCAGGAAAATGATGAATATGCATTTGGATTTGAGTGCACTCATAAACCAGGCAGTCTGAGACGCTGTATGTATCTAATCAGATTGCGTACCTTGACCATGACGCGGCCCGCAACGGTCAGATCCCGGTCGAACCATGTGTTCCAGATTCCCCCACCGTAACACTCCACGCCGACCTGCAGACAACCTAACCTCGTCTTCTTAGAGCGAGGCTTTACCTGATCACACAAACAAATGGAACCATGTATAATGGTACAATACAACATCTCTCCATTTTTGTGTTTTTTCAGTTCATTACATAATTTTAAAATGCATGTTGTCCTTCACATTGTGTGTAAATTTCATGAATGGACCAAAAGAAGCCGCCCAAAATGATGTGGAAAAAAGTCTGGTTCCACTGACTTACATTAAAAGTAAAGCATGTTTTTCCCTTCTCCTGCAAAGTTACCATTTTGGAGATACGAGGTTTTGATGACAGCAGTGATACAGTCTACAAAAACAGGTTTAATGCCAAGCAACTATAGCCTCTTTATGACCACGGCTGCAACTAACAATTATTTCTATAATTGGTCAATTTGACTATTTTTCAAATAATTCACTAATTAAACAGAGTATATGTTGTAACACGGGAGTTTTTATTCCAGGGGTTGCAGCTTTTGAGCATTATCTCATTCATATTCAGTACTGAGCACCATTTAGTTCCGGCCACGCAAGCTGATTGGTTGAGAAGCGTTCTAACCGTGCTGATATTTCGGCATAACAGCATGGTTTTTTTCACAAACACTATCATTCTGCTGAGATGCTGTTGCCAAGCAACGACTTTGACAGCTGTAGGAGATGCTTAAACCATTCGAACGTTTTCTTCTTACTTTGTGCACAAACAGAAAATGGATACTTTGAAGATCACATTTGACCGACAGCCGATTTGGTCAGACATGGTGGAACTACTGAAATAGGTTAAAGACTTAAAATATTGAAGCACATTTAGATAAAATGTTTGATGCTTACTTGATGCATTTCTACTTTGTATTAGGAGAGTGTAACATTTTTTGTCAGTAAAAAAGTGGATTTTGAGAGCACAGTAAAAGGCACTAAAGCTGGTTTTCATATAAAGAAGCAAGAAGTAAGGTAATGGCCTTGAGCAAGAATAGAAACAGAAGAAAACAAGAAGAATAGAATAGAAGAAAACAAGCAGACAAGGAAAAAACTGAGTTTGAAACGAGTTTAATGTGTTGGTCTGTGTGGAGCTGGAGAACGAACTGCCGGCTGTACAGCGAGTGAGCGGAGCTCGTTACTCTGATGTAGCAATGAGCTGCTTGTTAAGGAACTATAATTTGGTGGAAGGAACTGCGAACATTAAAACATATTAAACGCAGCGTTCACGGCCCAGTTTATTAATTTCTTACTTTATTTATTTAACTGTTGTATAAAAGCAGTAGAACACTCGAGGAGAGTGTAATCGCTATAACATCACGGCTGTGATGATCCACTGCGATCAAATCACAGCCGCGTTGTTATTTCGCGATAACACACTCCCTCTCGCGTTGTATTGCTTAATAAGATAATCCACATAACAAAGGGTTAAAGAGTTTAAAATAATATTAAAAGGAACAGAGACTCCTAATAACCAGGCAACACCTGGTTGACCATTAAAAACGTCACAATCAGATAAACAGTACTCAAAGGTTTCATCTTTGAGAGAAAGAAGAAAGTCAAGCTCCACTCTCGCTTCGGATCTGAAAAAAGTCCAGTGGTGTTTCTGTCCATCTTTCCACTGCGAGAAGACAACTCAGCGCTATGGGTCTAAAACAATGCGTAGCTGTCAAGAAGTTTCCTGAATAAAATGGAAGCAGCTGTGATAAAGGCGAAGCGTGGAATACTCTATTTAGGGCGCCTTTACATCTAGCTTGTTTGGTGCGGACCTATTGGACCTTTTAAAATGTAGTCATTTTCGCAGGTGGGGACGCTCCACTCATATTTGGCTCTGCACCAAACAACAGAACCGTGGCCCACCTAAGACACAGGTCTCGGTTTGCTTCCAGGTGAACAGTGGCTCAGTTCACTGCTGGGGGGAAAGCGTTTTATGATGGTTTGCACCAAAGAAGGGAATCTAATGTGGAGGAATCCTATCTGGTAACACTGAACAGGTTCCTGTTTGAATGTATTGACATGAGCTTCTTTAAAAAAAGGACAATGGCAGTTAGACGGCAGCAGTTTTCCAGAAAAAACGTCCATTCTCACCCTCAGGCAGGGGCTGTCCGTATGGGCTCCGATCATGGAGAAGCCATTTCCAGGCTTGTACAGGCCGCCCACTGCAAAAGCAATGATGGTGGAGTAGTTCCGGGTCACAAAGTACTATGAAGCAAAAAACAAACTGTTACACAACATGAAATATATAACAGACTACATAACTGTACAAAGCTCAGTCTAATTCTGCAGACAGATCAATGGGTCACTTATGGTGTAACTGAAGTTATTAGGTGAGATGTCCTTTATCAGATGGGCTGATATGATACACAGGAATGTGTGCAGGTCACAGCTCTGAACAAAAGCATGTACATCGCATAGAAACACAGACATGCAAGCACGCACCTTGTTTGCTGGTTTTATGTCCCAGTGTTCAGACTCCTTCAGCTCTGTGAAGCCAGCTTTTAACAGACGGGCCTTACACTCTTCCACCACTGCAAAAGAAAGAAAAACAGAAAGGATGGTGTGAGGGAGAGACAGAGAGGCAGTGTGGATGACAATAAATTGCAATGACACACTTTTAGAGGGTAAGTAATGGTTACACTTGGTAATTTTTAATGACCGTGCAGTTGTTTATAGAAGAGGCTTCACCAAAACCTTGAATCCAGGGCAAAGTGCAAAGGTAAACTTGTGTATCTAGTTCATGGCCTTCCAACAGTATCAAAGAGCCGATAGAGGATCAATGATAAAGACACAGATATCTTGCTCTCTCAAGCACCTACATACAATGACAATATACACCAATCAGGCATAACATTATGACCACCTGCTTGTTTCTACGCTCATTGTCCATTTTATCAGCTCCACTTACTATATAGGTGCACTTTGTAGTTCTACAGTTACAGACTGTAGTCCATCTGTTTCTCTGCATACTTTGTTAGCCCCCTTTTACCCTGTTCTTCAGTGGTCAGGACCCCCACAGGACCACCACAGAGCAAGTACTATTTGGGTGGTGGATCATTCTCAGCACTGCAGTAACACTGACATGGTGGTGGTGTGTTAGTGTGTGTTGTGCTGGTGCGAGTGGATCAGACACAGCAGTGCTGCTGGAGTTTTTAAATACCTCAGTGTCACTGCTGGACTGAAAATTGTCCACCAACCAAAAATATCCAGCCAACAGCGTCCTGTGGGCAGCGTCCTGTGACCACTGATGAAGGACTAGAGGATGACCAACACAAACCGTGCAACAGCAGATGAGCTACCGTCTCTGACTTTACATCTACGAGGTGGACTGACAAGGTAGGAGTGTCTAATAGAGTGGACAGTGAGTGGACACAGTGTTTAAAAACTCTGTGTCTGATCCACTCGTACCAGCACAACACACACTAACACACCACCACCACGTCAGTATTACTGCAGTGCTGAAGAATGATCCACCACACAAATAGTACCTGCTCTGTGAGGGTCCATGGGGGTCCTGACCACTGAAGAACAGGGTAAAAGGGGGCTAACAAAGTATGCAGAGAAACAGATGGACTACAGTCTGTAACTGTAGAACTACAAAGTGCTCCTATATAGTAAGTGGAGCTGATAAAATGGATGTCTATTCAACATAAATGATGAACTAACCTAACTCTGTGTAAACAGACCACAATATAGAAATATGTACACATATGCAGTTGTGACTGACGTGTCTTTTTTCTGAATTTACACAAACACTTTCATTTTATAGTAAATTTGTTTTTGTTAGTTCATGTTTATGAACAGAGACCTACAGATGCAGTTTAGTAAAGTAAAACTCATTTGTGAATCTGAGTTTAAAGTTTTTATTAAACTTAAACTTGTAACTAAGTTGCAAATAAATCTTAAACTGAAACTTCGCTTGTTGCAAAAAAGTGATTTCAGAGCCACTCAGTTCTACCTGATGGAAACTGTTTGCCTTCAGTGTTTTGTGCTTATGATAATTTTAATAGACATCAGCGTCACTAATTAATGATTCTATTAAAAGACTGGTTTACCAAGAGAGACACTGGAGTATTTTCACCTAAAATGAGTTAATAAAGCAGAGTCTTGTTACAAAAATGATAATAGGACATTAAAATCATAATTAATCTGTTAGTACTTTCACTTTCAATACTTAAGTACATTTGAAGGCAAATACTTCTGTACTTCTACTCAAGTGGAGGTCTAAAGGGAGGAACTTCTACTTTTACTGGAGTAATATTTACCTTGGGCATCTCTACTTTAACTCAAGTACATGATTTGTGTACCTCGTCCACCACTGATACTAATGTACAGAAATCTGCAGTACAACGTAGCAAACCACTGTTAAATGTATGAATGTATTACGGTTCTTATAGAAATCCTTAAAACTGAAATCATCCCTGAGGCACTGCTATTCTTACCATGATACGGTGAAACTCCACGATTGACGAAATGAAGAAACTCCTTGGCGGCGGCGTGAACAGCTTCCTTAGAGGTTTTCATGATGAAAGACTAAGGAAAAAGTACAGAAATAGAGACGTACTGTCGTTAGAAAGCGTAAACAGAGCACATCCTCCTCCTCCAGCTTGTCTCCAGCCGGAATAGCAGACTAGCTAACCTACAGTTGAGCTGAATTAGGCAGCTTCCGCTCGTCTTTCAAACACAGAAGAGACCTAAAAACCTCTCTAAAGCGGTTAAATGAAGTGACAGAAGCTGAGCTGACAGATTAAGTCAATCCTCACGCCGCTGGCAAACGTAAACACAAGCTAGCTCACGTCAATTTGGCAACGAAACCGGTTTTTACAAGCAAACTCTTACAATGTTTACTAGACGTTACAGACGTCGAGTCCAACTCCGACCTTCAGGAACCGGTAAAAACCTTCAGCTCTCACCGACAAGACTTTTATAGCCGTTATCTCTCGCAGCTTACCTGCATAAATGTTTAACAGAGGCTCTCCTGCCGACTCAGAGAGAACCCGCTAACATGGAGATGCAGCTGTGGGTGAAAGAACGGAGCGAGCTGCAGAGCACGGCGCGCTTTTCTGCCCTCTAGTGTTTGGAGGGTACAGACGCGTCGTACATACATAACATTATCAGGCATAACATTATGACCACCTCCTTGTTTCTACGCTCATTGTCCATTTTATCAGCTCCACTTACTGTATAGGTGCACTTTGTAGTTCTACAGTTACAGACTGTAGTCCATCTGTTTCTCTGCATACTTTGTTAGCCCCCTGTTTTTCAGTGGTCAGGACCCCCATGGACCCTCACAGAGCAGGTACTATTTGGGTGGTGGATCATTCTCAGCACTGCAGTAACACTGACGTGGTGGTGGTGTGTTAGTGTGTGTTGCGCTGGTCTGAGTGGATCAGACACAGCAGTGCTGCTGGAGTTTTTAAACACCTCAGTGTCGCTGCTGGACTGAGAATAGTCCACCAACCAGAAACATCCAGCCAACAGCATCCTGTGGGCAGCGTCCTGTGACCACTGATGAAGGACTAGAGGATGACCAACATAGACCGTGCAGCAGCAGATGAGCTATCGTCTCTGACTTTACATCTACAAGGTGGACTGACAAGGTAAGTGTGTCTAACAGAGTGGACAGTGAGTGGACACAGTGTTTAAAGACTTATTGTTTAGTAGCCTCACAGCAACTGAACTCTGTATCACTGCGCCAAATCACAAAAAATCCTTCTGTTGTTAGCTAATGGATTCATCTTTGACTGTAATGCTGCTCTTATTTTCCACTCCTTAACACTTTATTTCGAAACGAAAATGCTTTGGACACAATATACACGGTCCTGAGTATACTGATGAAGTAAGAACCCGTTTTTTGTTTATGTAAACCCCGCCTCCCCCCATCTTTGCTCCCCTTCTACCACACACAATCAGGCGCCCATGGTAGAGTGGATATAAAAGGCCTGCAAGGCATACAAGCAGGAATGTATGAAATTTGGAAAGTGTATTCTCTACAGGCGTAGCTAATGTAACAATGCTGTAAAAGGGTCTTCGTAATCCTTTCATACAGCCACAATATTAAGCAAGTACACACTCAAAACGTTGGATGTGTATGTCTGTGTTTGCACCGTTGCCTGGCTCCTGTAGAATATTTAGAAACATGAGCTGTACACACTTAAACCTCTTGTCTTTGCTGTGTAACCCCCTCACCTCCCCAAACACACATGCACATGGTCAATAGAACAGATAATACGATACCGTGATATGTTTATTTTAAAGCTTTTAAAGTTGTTTTTTTAATGTATTGATGTCTATCCTGTGTCCCAAATTCAGCCAGTCAAGCTACTTTTTCCACTAATCATGTATTAGAGGTCAATCATAAAAATTTCACACTGTGGATATTTATATTTGGTTATGGTTCGGTGGCAGATGCACTCCACCGTGATATGTGTATTTAAAAGCTTTTAAAGTTGTTTTTTTTAATGTATTGATGTCTATCCTGTATCCCAAATCTGACCGGCAGATTCAGCCAGTCAAGCCACTTTTTTCCACTAATCAGAGGTCCGTCATAAAAACCTCACCACACAGATATTTTTCTTCTCCTTCTTTTGAAAATATGCACTGGGCCATTCATTTACAAAAACATGGAAAAAAATAGGAAGTTCAAAAAGCATAAGGGTGGATACCGAGTGGAATGCTTCTTTATGCCTTGAATATGTAATCCAGAGCCATTTGGCCCAATACACTCACTATGCTCGTTGGGTAGGGCCCCGCAAATTATGCAAGGGCCCCATCTTCCCCTCATGTCAAGCATGAGAGGATAAACTATCCTTCTGGTCATGAGAAAGAAAAAAAAAGTGAAAGCACCAAAACAACCACCGTCAGATAAACAGCACTTAAAGCTTTCATCTTTGAGAGAGAGGAGAAAATCAAGCTGCTTCAGATCTGAAAACATCCACGGGTGTTTCTGTCCATCCTTCCACTGTGAGAAGACGACTCAGCACTATGGGTCTGAAAGGATGTGTAGCTGTCAAGAAGAACCTCACTGAGAAAAGGAAATAAACCAAAAAGAAGAACGTTTGCAAATCAAACAAAGAAGCTGCTGTTTTTTTTTTTTAGAACAATGAACTGACCACCCCAGAGTCCAGACCTCAACATCATAGAATGTGTTTAAGAGTATTGGGTCAAGAGAAGCAGAAAATGTAAACAAACATCTAAGACTGAACTTTGGAGAGGTTTACAAGAAACAAAATGTCTCTGCAGCAGGTCTCCTTGAAGAATGGAAGCTGTAATGAAGGCAAAGGGTGGACACAGTAAATACTGAAAAAAATGACATATTAAAGTGTTGAAGATTTTTTGTACTTTTCTATTAAATATTAAATATAAAAATCTTTGTTTCCTGACATGGGAAACAAATAATTTAATGGCCATTTTGACTGGAAATTATATAAATTAGTTGGGGTCTGACTTTTGCGCAGTATTGTAGTTGAGACCTTGATGGTGCTGTATAGAAACATTTTTAAAAACCTTTTATCTCCTTTTTTCAGTTTTTGACATAATTTGAAAATGTCTGTTGCCCTTTACATTGTATGTAGATTTTATGATGAACGGACCAAAAGAAACAGCCCAAAATGACTTGGAAAAAAGTCTGGTTCCATTGACTTACATTAAAAGTAAAGCAGTTTTTTCCTTCTCCTGTAAAGTTACAAGGTTTTCTTCCAACAACAGCGACATACAACATGGTTTTCATCATAGAGAACAACAGTTTCCATATCCATAGCACAATTACACCATTCAGATGGTTCTTTAAGTTGGTATGGTTCTACATATAACCATTGTTTTTTCTAAAGAACCCTTAAAGACCCCTCCTCTCCCCCCTTTTTAAGGGTGTATGCTGTCTTTTACGACTGGTCATATATCAGTCTTTGATTTGCTCTATAATGGATAACATTAGGACTTTGGCATAGGAAGCAGATCTTAATCACACTATATCTCAGACAGTGAATCTTGTTAAAGTGAAGACTCACCTTAGCAACAGGAACACACTGAAATGTCTGAGATTTGAAATGGTCCACATGTTTGGGCCAGCAGATGTTTGAGTTTTCATCGCTCAGTGAAATTGCTTTCTCATGAATAACGTTATCAGAGAGTGAAAGGTCAGACTTTAATTAACATTGCTTCTGGGAATTTGAATACCTTCCTCGGTTGTCTGGGAGACGGTCCGGCCAATGCGTGTGGACTCGCTGTGTACTGGTGTTAGTTCGAGGTTGGTTTGCGGTCAGTATCTGCTGAGGTTTGATGGGACATGCTTCAGCTTCTGAAAGTGCTCTGTAATACAGTTTTAGTAAACATGTGCATCAAAATTTCATAGTGTGGATATTTATATTTGGTTATGGTTCGGTGGCAGATGCACTCCACATGTAGTCAATCAGCCAAGACATGTTTGGTGTCCAATTTTGCTTCTGGAGCTCTGATGTTGTACAATGTTGCTAATAAACACTAGCTGTTCACAGAAAACCAAATGTTTACTGTAAAAAAATCCACAAACTTTTCTCAGCTCACACTCAAACTACATCCTGGTCTTCATTAAGCTCACCAGACAGTGTGATTTAGAGCACAATATGACTTACTCTAAACTATAAGCATGAAATTTTACTGTGTAGCTGAATACAACAGTTAGCCATTCAGGACAACATGTCTCAGAATTTGACTCCTCTAAGTGTGCACATGCCACGGATGTTAACGTTACAGATTACGCCAAAGATTTCTGTTGTTTCTGTTTATTTACATTTACATTTACATCATTTAGCAGATGCTCTTATCCAGAGCGACTTACAAAAAGTGCTTTGTCTATCCAGAGAAAGTATCTTCGCTAGTTACCAATAGGTTAGAGAGAAAGCCAGTCCTGAGTTTAGATACTGCTAGAATCAGAAAGTCATTATAGACACCTAGAGAAAAAGGAACAGAGTTAAACACAGAACAGTGCAATACAATACAATACATAAGTGCTGTACAATACATTACAATCAATACTTAATTCAGTGCTCATTTAGGTGCTGTATAAACAGGTGTGTCTTCAGTCTGCGTTTGAAGACAGCGAGAGACTCTGCTGTACGGACAGCCAGTGGGAGTTCGTTCCACCACCTGGGTGCCAGCACAGAGAACAGTCTTGATGCTTGCCCTCCGCGTGCCTTGAGGGATGGCGGGTCAAGCCGAGCTGTACTCGAAGCTCGAAGGGCTCGTGGTACAGTTCGAGATTTGACCATTGCCATCAAGTAGGGAGGGGCTGGTCCATTTTTGGCTTTGTAGGCAAGCAGAAGGGTTTTAAATCTGATGCGTGCAGCTACAGGAAGCCAGTGAAGGGAGCGCAGCAGTGGGGTGACGTGGCTGAACTTTGGGAGATTGAAGATGAGTCTTGCTGCTGCATTCTGGATGAGTTGCAGAGGCCTGAAGGCCTGCATAGGAAGACCAGCCAAGAGCGAGTTGCAGTAGTCAAGCCTTGAGATGACAAGAGACTGCACTAGCACCTGGGTGGCCTCTCTCGAGAGACAGGGTCGGATCCTCCGGATGTTGAACAGGAGAAATCTGCATGACTGAGTTAGGTTCACAATGTGAGTCGAGAACGATAACTGGCCATCCAGAACCACACCAAGACTTCTTGCCTCTACAGACGGGACAATCAGAGAGTTCTCGAATGAGATGGCAAGATCATTAGTTGTTTATAAACAACTAAAAATACTGAGTGGCTTGAGAAAAGTTTTGAGATGTATTTACAGAAAAGATTTGGGTGACTATTGACTTCTAGTGTTTGTCATCAACGTTAGCCTCGTAGCTCCAGTACTAACTAAAGAAGAAAAATTGGACACCAAACATGTCTTGGCTGATTCACTACATCTGGGGTAAGTGGGAAATTATGCTGTAACACTGGGTTGACGAATTAGACACTCTCCGATAAAAGATAAGATTTATTAAG